ACCTTCTAACTGCAATCATCGCCAGTGCAGCTACTCTCAGTTGATCAACGGGACTGTCTGTCACGTATTATGGTGTATCTATATAGATAGATGCCAACCTTCTAACTGCAATCATCGCCAGTGCAGCTACTCTCAGTTGATCAACGGGACTGTCTGTCACGTATTATGGTGTATCTATATAGATAGATGCCAACCTTCTAACTGCAATCATCGCCAGTGCAGCTACTCTCAGTTGATCAACGGGACTGTCTATCACGTATTATGGTGTAACTATAGAGATAGATGCCAACCTTCTAGTAAAACTGTTTGTATTCAAAACGTTTATTAGAGTATTAAGTGTATAGTAAATCAAATTAAAGGATAAAATGAAAGTGAAACTATTGGTATGGTTAAGTAAAATGTCTTATTTTTATTTTCGTTTTTACAGTCAGCTCCAGTTTCAGAATCTGATTTCCAAATGGCTGGTAGATGATGACTCTACGAAAAATCCTTTAGTGATTACACAAACCCATCTGGCCTTGAATGCGAAAAAAGTACGTTTTACTGTGGTTAAAACAAAATTTGAGATATTGATTAGGTACTTTCGTTAAAAATAATAGAAACAAACAGAATAAGTAGCACAGAAGAGTCAAAATAAGTTATATATGTAACACAGCCGTAGTCTGAAGTCTGCATTTAAGCACTGACAGTATAACGGCTAGTAATGCTGTAACGTATATGGAAATTCTGAATCTGTACTATTTGCTTCAAAAAGTATACTTTCTGGGGATAATACTTATTCCAATAAACGAATTATACACGAATTTAAATGCATTGAAATGGCCATTGTAGTTAACAGTGATAATACAATGATTTTTCTTTCTATTACAGACTAACAAACATCTTAGCCTAAGAGAGAAAATGTATCATTATTCAAAAGACGCTACTTTGATTGTGATGTAAGTTGACACAAATATGTGTACATCATTGTAATGATGTTTGCTTTAAAGTTGATTTAATAACCTTATCCTCCTTATTCAATTAATATGGTTTACATGATAGATTTTGTGAATTAACCTCGAATTAATATTGACTTATGTTCTAATACTATACAACATAATTTCTTTATTGGTTGCTACGTACAAAACTGCACATTCTGTGCTGTGTCTACCATAGGAATAAAATCTAGAGTTTTTGCATTAGAAACCCTCGTACGCGTAAAGATTAACAATGTTGTTTTTGAATTAACGTTCGTTGTACTTTATCCTTTGCGAATTCTGATCCAATATAAAGACATATGATATGTTTTTGTTACAAGTTATGTTTGTTGACAAGAATAAACCCAGCACCAGTTGGCTTGTATCGTATAAATAATTAATTAACAGTTAAAAGTGTTTTATAGCTTGCACAAAAACACACGAATATTAATGTAGATTATTTTATTAATATTTCATAATACATGATAAATTCTATACCATATCATATATATTTTGCAATAAAAGGAAACACACGTTTCTAAATGTAACATTTTGGAATAGGTTATATTGTTAGCACTATCGATTTGACTTTATCTAAGCAAAAATTTTAGAACAACAATAATAATAACATTAATTGGAAAAATTGAAAATGTAGATAATAAGTGAGCAAGCATTCTGATTCGCGGTCCATGCATGCGCTAATTTGGAAAATTAAACTTGACCAGACATGTTTACTATTTCTTCATGTCCTAGAGATGCATTTGCTGCATTTTGTTACTTGTTGTCAGAGTTATTATTTTGTGTAAACATTTGACACCGAATCTATAGAAAACATAAGATGGATATTTTAGTATTAAACATTGTTTTTAGAACTAACATGATTGCAATATATATTTTCTGATTGCCATACAAGTACAATATCACAATTAACCAACGTTATAGCCGCTACTCCGTTCGTGTTTTGAATCTGTATGTCTGTCTGCCTGCCTGCATCTATGATTTTTAGAAAGGTTTTATTCACATGAAAACTACAAGCCTTCTTATCCTTGATTTCTTCATAGTAATGTAATGTTTTCTAGTTGTTACTGAGATATTAAGCGTAAACAACAACAACAAAAAAACGACGTTTCTTGGCCCAATGAAAGATAAACTTTTTACGATTTCAGTTGACTGTTTACGGTAACACACTCACCATCATCAGGGTTTGTGTTGGTAACTGTGTTACTAAACTAGTCGACAGCAACAACCAATAAAGAGTTTATCTTTCATTGTGCCAAAAAACCTCAGTTTAGTTTTCGTTTCTCTTAATACACAGACGCACAATGTGATAGAAAATAAATTATTCTTAGTGCAATGTTTGATGAAAATGTAGGGCTTATTTACCGTATAAACAAGGTGTCCCCGTTTCCTCACACAGTATAACAATCGCACTGTTTTGATTAGAGAATCTTATCGCTACCTCCCACACTTAATCTGAAGTCTACTTTCTTTGGTAGATATAATTACAATCACTGTATGATTGATCATTGTACTTTTGCTACAAAATGTTTGATAAAAGACACTTGATGCTTTTTTTTTCAGGACTTTACCGATGCCTGTAAAGAATGTTTGTCCTGCTCCACTATACATGGCCTGGTTAGAAATCCTGACACAAGACATGCCCCCATTCTTGCTTATTCGTGGCAACCAAACAAGTGTTTTGACGTTCTACTCTTCATAACCCTTAAAACAATGGTAATCTAGAGAGGAAGTGACCAGAAAAGTATAGTGTGTGGGATATCTACGATAAAATAGACCACAAAGGTTCTAAATGTTACTTGTAGTAAATACTTCTTTCACATTCAATATATTTCTTTTTAAGATCATTCAGAACTTGTTTGAAATTCAATATATTTTGATAAATTTATTAAAATTGACCTTTTGTCAAAGAAATAATATTTTGTTTATTTTGCTTGATTTTAAACCTTTACAAGTTCATTGTCTTTACCTATATTCATTTAAAAATTTCACATTTTAAGCTAATCGTTTTTGTAATGTATTTAGATACTGCTTTTATCCAGTTCATCTGTGCTATCTAGACATATATTTATATAAAGGTGAAAAACATGTCTTAAATATACTTATAAGTCAACCATAAATTTAACACATATAGTTATACTTCATTAGAAATTACCTACGTCATTTTACGTTTCGATAAATCTACCAAAAATATCTACTTGAAGGTCAGTTATGGATAAATTAATACATAAATCTGGTGTATTAATTTTAAATTTGATTAGAAAGTACTTACATTAGACATAATTTCTTTCGTTAGATTTGTTTAGAGATTGTTCATCATTTTTGTTTTATATGTTTAGTTTTAAATTATTTTTTCAAGCTCCATATCCCTTACTACACTTATTATGAAATTAGCTCATTGAAATTTATTTCAAATAAAAAAATATCTTATTATTTTAATTGAAATAATTACACCGAGAACAGCACAGTTTGTTAAATATATATTTAGTAATTAACTTTATCACATTAAATATATTTTGTTAGGGTCTCAACTCGCAATCTGCGAGTCGTGGGTTCGAATCCCTGTCCCATCAAACATGCTCGCTGATTCAGCCGTGGGGGCGTTACAACGGGACAGTGAATCCCAGTATTCGTTGGTAAAAGAGTAGCCCAAGAGTTGGCGGTGGGTGGTAATGACTAGCTGCCTTACCTCTAGTCTTACACTGCTAAATTAGGGACGGCTAGCGCAGATAGCCCTCGTGTATCTTTGCACGAAATTTAAAACAAACAAACAATATATTTTGTTATACTTATTTAATAATTGTATGTATAAAACTCAATAAGTGTTGTTAATTATAGTAAATTTTACGAGGTCAATACATTTTGATAGATTTGTCTCAAAAGCTTACAGCATTAAATTTCTTAAAGGTCAGTTACAATAACAAGCAAAGTGTCTGTAATAATCAAAGCTTGAAATGTTCCCTTATTTTAGTTGTTCTTACATTTTACCTGGTAATAATACTTATTTCTACCACCAAAGTTAAACAACTCTTAAAAATTCCTGTTCGTTTCATTAAAAAAAACTAAAATAATTTAGAGTTCACTGTGTGATACTAATAGGCCTAATATTCGTGATAAAAATCAGGTTAGGTTGTAATTATTTTTTTTATATTTCTCTTAATTTGTCCATTACACATTTCTAATCAGAGGTGTGTAAAACCACATTTAAGATCTCTGATCTCCCATATGCCACTACCCAGTGGGTCTTTGGTTCAATGCCAGAACATGTCAGCTGAGTCGTGACTTATGGGAGACAAAAAAAATATTTTTACACATTTCCGATTTGAAATCCATATTGAACAAATTAATAAGAACATATCAATACTATGAATTTCCAATGCTTCACCAGCTTTCGTCATTCAAACCGTAAATTTAAATGTGTGGTACAGTTTGTAATTCTGTTTTCTTCTGTAAATAACTATAAGATACTTTGAAATAATTACTCATATGCTTTACTCATAAGTACGTCTTAACAATATCGTCGTGACCAACATACTTATATCCATCTATGGATAATCGTCGAATACTGATATATATTTATTTTACAAATTAATTATTTTTGGTCACAAATCATGTGCCAAACAATGCGTAAACCACCGACATTACTTGATCATCTAATGGATCTTTCATTTATTAAAGTGTTGTTCTTCTAATAGCCTCGGTTCTAATCTATCAATAATTTTTCGTGGTGTTTCTTTCCAGAAAACACAAACGTTGACAAACACATTATATGAGTTAAAACGGCTCCACCGAGAATTTCGGATGTTGTAGATAACAATCTTTAACAGTTAATTCTACGTAAAATACTTGTTTTATTAGTAATAAAAATATTTTAGACGATTAATTTATAGCTTTGTGTACAACTAGACTGTGGTTAGTAAAATAAGCTGCCGTTAAAAATAATTTGCTGTTTTATATATTAATGAATACGGTAAACGTACATTTTGTTATTTGAATCGTTTCCTTATCATTTTAAATGATCATACAGTTTAATGTATTTTCTAGCTGTGAAAACTGGTTTATGAATCTGACTTTCGCGTATGAACTTCTTATGATCAATTATGTTCAGGTCTAATCTATATGGCAGTTTGAGTCGTTTTTTTCTACCTAGTGTAACGATCGATCAGAAGGAAGAATTTTAAATACAGGTTTTAGTAAAACTTCTAAAAACTATTTGGTTTCGCTCAAGTAGACATCTGAATTAATATTTATTGGATATAAATGATCAGTCATTAAGTGCATACCTGTTATATAACCAACGCAAAAAGAAAGTTAAGAATTGCAACATTTTGTTACATATGTATGTGTTTTTTATAAAGAGATTTTTCTTCGAAATGGTGATACAGAATGACAAGGGATTAAATTAACAAAAGAAAAAAAATTATTTGAATAAATCAATAAATTGTCTATATCACGGAATTTATTAATGTATTTCTATTCTTAAATGAGAATACGTTTCTCATTCCTTGTGGACACATTAATTAAAACCTACTCAGTCATAACGTTTTGTTGTCAAATGCAGATGTAGTAATAATAAATGATCTTGTAAGCCTTCACGTTATTTTTTTTATATACTAGACAAAAGAGACAATTCTCATATTTCTTCTCTGAAAAACTAAAATTTTGGATTAATGAATATTTCTTAATGTTCCTCAATAGTGTTCTTCTGAAGTAAAAACACAGAAAAAAATGTATGTGGTTCGTGGTATGAGGTTAATGTAACCGAAAATATCGCTGTAAGCGAGGGTATCCAACTGATGAAACAATGAATTCTGATCTTCATAAGTAAGAAAAATATATCTAATTAGCTATACTCACTACCAAGCTGGATTTTAGTTTTGCTCTAAGTAGGTGGCTTTCTCTGATCGGAAATTAATACTGTCATTTTAAAAATTAGTTTGTACTTTTTTTATCATTTCTAAAGTAAATACAAATTAATAAAGAGTTAACCAACAATTCCAACTGAAAACATTTTTTTATAAATAAAGGGTTTTAGTTTTTCTGTGTACCAATATCGATCATGTTATATATCGAAATACTTTTAACTTTAGTAAGTCTGAGAATTTTAATGGACTGTATCTGCTTCGTTTCGGCTTCTATACTGAGGCCTTCTACTATTGTCTACGTTGTGTAAAGTTCCACTGAAGCTCCGTTCAATTTTATATTTGGTGCTTTTCCATACATCATATATAGGAGTGTCAACAATGTAGGATAAAATTCATTATGCGTATATCAACCAAAAAATTGAAGGCATAAAAAAAACTGCCAACTGTTCCCATAACAACGATCGTTTGTGTATTCTTTCCATTATATAATACAACCTTTTGTTTTCTCAATTTAAGATTTCCCTCATAGATGGCGCCTGCTTAACAGTAGTTCAATTGTTCTCCTGAGCATAAAATTCCAATGAAAGAAACATAATAATGAATTAGTGCATATAAAATTAAAAATTTAGTCAGAATAGTACAAAGATAAGAGGAAGAGTTTGTTTACAACTAAATATATCAAGCAATGTGCCATAATGAATTTCGCAGAATATCAGACTCGTTTAGATCAAAGTATCCCTGAATGTATAATATGGACATGACCATAAATATACACACAATGAGATATATCACCTATGCTTCCTATTAAATACGACTTAACTAGCCAAATATAAGGTAGTAATAAAATATTTATATTTTAGGTGGCTAAAGACTGTAATAGATAGATAAATATGTATATACGGAAACGTTGTACCATTAATATATCATTTATAAGATATTCCTTTCTTTTGCAAACAACATAAATAGGAATAGCTACTATTTTATTTGTAATCTAACCGGACTGTATGCACTACTGTACTTGAACTCTTGAATTAGGAACAGCTGGTAGTGAAATATAATAGGCATTTCATAATCATAGGTATAATATCTTGCGTTTCATGTTTGAACTGTTCTATGTTTAGCATATAGAACATATTAGAACTTCTATTCTTTTTTAAAAAAGATTAAATGTATAATATCTTGCGCTTCATGTTTGAACTATTCTATGTTTAGCATATAGAACATATTAGAACTTCTATTCTTTTTTAAAAAGGTTAAATGCGTCTGTTTATAATCACATTATTAATGCAAGTGGTTCTTCAGCTTCACTTCAAAAACACGGAGGGTTTTAAAATATAAAAAATAACGAACAAGCGTATTTAGCTTTTACAAGAACACATTTTATAGAAAACAAATATTTAGTTTTATTTCATAAAAACGGACAAATGTTTGTTTGTTTGTTTTGAATTTCGCGCAAAGCTACACGAGGGGTATCTGCGCTAGCCGTCCCTAATTTAGCAGTGTAAGACTAGAGGGAAGGCAGCTAGTCATCACCACCCACCGCCAACTCTTGGGCTACTCTTTTACCAACGAAGAGTGGGATTGACCGTCACATTATAACGCCCCCACGGCTGAAAGGGCGAGCATGTTTGGTGTAACGGGGATTCGAACCCCGCGACCCTCAGATTGCGAGTCGAGTGCCTTAAGCACCTGGACATGCCGGGCGCGGACAAATGTATGAGCGTAAAATGTTATTTTAATTAATATTTATTAACGTTTCTCACTCACATTTCTCTGGCGTAAAAACACAACGAAAAAAAATACAGGAATACGAGTGTTTTGGAAATTTGATCGTAATTCAACCTTCATGTCTTGATGGCCATCAGCACTATCAGGCAGCTCTGATATCTGGCGGTGACACATACGAGACGACAGAAAAATTCCTAA